CTTTTGCTGGTACTTTGCTTTTGATAGTTAAAAAAATCAAGTAGAGTGTGGGAGTGGAGTCAATGGAATTGTAATAGATAAGTATGATATCGGGGGTGGGAGGGCAGTAGATGGGGGAGGAGGGTTGTTTCTGGGTGAAGGGTGAAAAGGATAATTATTGTATTGTTCTGTACACCTGAAACTAAGAATAAAAAAATTTTTATATACTGTAGTGAAAAGGACTGTACATCAAGGTACATTATAAAATGTGAAATGATACCCAAGCTAATTAAGAACAAGTAACTCTGATAACACAACTCAAACTACAAATATATACTTCTCTTCCCAATATATAAAATTGTACATAAAATATTATTTTATTATACATATAATATTACATGAAAGTATATTTTAATATAACACTACAAACAAATGTTTGTGTATCTATAACATTACAAATATTAGTATAAATTAATATTTACTATCACTACTTAAAAACATTATGATAACCAATATAGTCAAGTACTAGAATACTGTGATTTACTACTGCATTTAATGCTTGTGCTGTAACTACACAATAATGCAGCTAAGCTACTAAAGTCAACTGTTATTATCACTACAATAAAAACACACTACTATTGCACTTCTGGGTATGTATTCAATGGAAATGCCAAAATATGTTCACCAAAAGAAATAATATTCATAATAACCCACAAGTGGGAGACCCAAATCTCTAATTATTGTAAAATGGATAAACTGTATGATAAGTAACAATTTAAGACCCTAAATAGCAACGGCAGCCCTGAGAAAGAAGAACAAAGTTGGGGGTATCATGCTACCAGACATTAAAACGTACTACAAATCAAAACAGCATGGTACTGGCATAAAAACAGGCACATAGATCAATGGAACAGAATAGAGAACCCAGAATTAAATCCAGGCACATACGAGCAGTTAGCCTATGACAATGGAAGCAAGAATTTACATTGGGGTAAAGATAGTCTATTAATAGTCTAATAAATGGTGCTGGGAAAATTGGACTGACACATGCAAAAAAATGAAACTGGACCACCTTCTTACACCATATACA